CTCTGTCTCTACCAAAAAGAAAAAAAAAATTAGCCAGATGTGTGGTGTACACCTGTAGTCCCAGCTACTCGAGAAGCTCTGATAGGAGGATTGCTTAAGTCCAGGGGTTTGAGGCTGCAGGGAGATATAATTGTGTCACTGCGCCCTAGCCTGGGAGACAGAATGAGTCTCTCTCTCTCTCTCTCTCTTTCAAAAAAAAAAAAAGATTTTATTTTTTTCGGTGTTACTTAATAATTGTAAATGATGGAGGTTCATACAAGAGATCTTTCACCTTTACTACTTAGGAATCAAAAATTATTTTTAAAAAGATAAGAATCGTTGGTAACTGCAGCAGGGAGCACCTGATCTTTGGCGTTAAAAGACTTGAATAACATTCCTGTAACTATCTGTCATTTACTTGGGCCAGTTACAATCGCCATTATCTTCCAACTAAAATTAAGACTTAAAAGACTTCCCTTATTAGAGATGGGATGTCCCTCTGTTGCCCAGTCTAGAGTAAAAATCCACTTCTAACTGCTGCTCATAGAGTGTGTATCCAGGGCAACTTAAATCTATGTTCCTGGGATGCAGTCCTAAAGCTTGGCCCAAATAAGCTCTACTTATATTATTTTTTAAAACAAGACTTTCCTTATCTATCTGACTGAAATTCTAAGAAAATAATTTTATAACTTTTTTTTAAACTATAAAGCAGCATAGTGAACAAGTATTTGTTGACATCACCGTTATTATAATTATTCGGTTGTTAAGAAATAACTAAGCCCCCGATGCTGTGTGCCTACTACGATGTCTTTTGCATACTGTGTGCCTGATAGTATTTAAGAGTGAAAATGACTGGGTGCAGTGGCTCACACCTGTAATCCCAACACTTTAGGAGGCCGCGGTGGGGGGCTCACAAAGTCAGGAGTTCAAGACCAGCCTGACCAACATGGTGAAACCCTGTCTCTACTAAAAATACAAAAATTAGCCGGGTGGGGTGGCATGGGCCTGTAATCCCAGCTGCTCAGGGGGTGAGGCAGGAGAATCCCTTGAACCCTGGAGGTGGAGGTTGCAGTAAGTCAAGATCGCACCACTGCACTCCAGTCTGGGTGACAGAGTGAGACTCTGTCTCAAAAAATACTACTAATAATAAATAAATAAAGAGTGAAAATGAATTTTAAAACATGCTTGGTAGTGTCTGCTTACAGGACATATCTCTAAAAATAATGACTGGTGAATGGGAGAACAAATGTTAATGAGGTTCAAATAAATAAAAATTTAAATATTTTAGCATTTTAACCCAGACAATAAGGCTTCCATCACATAGTAACTGTTTATTGAAATATTTCAAGAAAAAGGGGATTATCATTTAGAAGACTGATTGGTCTTATTTATTATGACTGAAATGTGCAAACAAAATCATTGTTTCATGAACAGAAAACAGCAAAGTTTTTGACTATCAATGATGTTCGAATAGAAAATGGATCACTAAGGAGATAGGAGATTCTGTTACCGGCAGTCTTCAAAAGCAAGTTGATGGCCCTGGAATTAATGGAGTACAGGGAATTTTATAATTTGATGACTTGTTGAACTACATTATAGTCAAGATATTTTTCCAGTCATGAGTTGGAAGATTCTACAATCTAGTGGCATTATAGAATGGATTGGCCACTTGTACATCTGAATTTGTTACGAATGTGTAAGAAAAAAGTAATTGAGATGATACCTTGAAAATAAATGGAACCTCCTTTGTAACCTGACTTTGTCAGTCTTCATAAAGATAACATTGAGTTGATGTGTTTTTAAATAAGGTGCTAAGAGTAATATGTGTTTTTCTAAACCAATATTGTGGTATTTACATTTAAGGAATTATTATAGATTTATTTATCTCAAGTTTCCAAATGTGTATACCTAACCAAGAGATCTAATCATACACATCTTCAAAAGCTCATTTTTTTGTATCTTTGTGATATACTTTGATAAAATAACAATTTTAAACAACTTGAATCTTGGATATTAGTCTCGTGAGTTAGATGGGCTATTATATGTATGATTACTTCATAAACTCTGAAAGTGTGAATGTCATTTTATTATACCACCAATTTGGGATGTTAAACTACATCTTGAGCTTTCGTTGTTACAGGGAAAGCTCACTAACTACTTTTCATGGAGACCACACTGGTTTATTTTATTCTCTTTTTACCTGTGACCATTTCATTTAAACAAATAAAACATTTCACTGATGGAAAAACTACCAACTTCTACTCTAGCAAAAGTCATTCATTCATGTGGACTGACCAACTGTTAAACATCCTGGCAATCATGGAATTTGCTAAGTTCTGACTAAATGAGGTTCTTTAATCCACCTGCAATACAGATCATTAATAATAAGATAGGCTATCTGAGGTTTTGACAGTTCATTATAGAATTTTGAAACATCAGGAAAAGAACTACCAAATTATTGTCTTATTTTATGGTCTGCGAAAGCCTTTTTTTTTTTTTTTAAGACAGAATCTTGCTCTGTGTCCCAGGCTGGAATGCAGTGGTGTAATCTCAGCTCACTGCAACTTCCTCCTCCCTGATTCTCCTGCCTCAGCCTCCCAAGTAGCTGGGATTACAGGTGCATTCCACCATGCCTAGCTAATTTTCATACTTTTAGTAGACATGGGGTTTTACCATGATGGCCAGGCTGGTCTCAAACTCCTGACCTTAAGTGATCCACCCGCCTCAGCCTCCCAGAGCGCTAGGATTACAGGCGTGAGCCACTGAGCCTGGACTGAAAGGCATTCATTTCTGATCAGGCTTCTGTTGAGGTAGTAATTGTCAAAGGGGAAGGAGCAAAATCTCAGAGGAGAAACATTGGAAAATACCTTTATCTTTGCTTGAGAATGAAAATCTAAATGGAACTTCAAAGAACTATTTTGTTGTTTGTTAGTTTTTTAGTTAAAAAAAAAAAAAGTCCCAAAAAGAAAAAAGAGAAGGTAATCAATTCAATGCCCAGGAAGCCAAATAGACTTTACATAGAATTCTTTTTAATGCAACCAAACAAATGGTTAGGATTCTTCCCAATATCTTAGTCAACAATAATATACACTCTTTAAACTATGAAATGATTTCAATTTGATATAATGAGCTTATGTCAGATTTTATTAAACATGTTTTGGTGGTCTAGTAAAGATCTTTAATATTTAATTTTATGATGTTCAATAACTTAGAAAATGTGAATGCTAGAGATGATGAAGCCATTTACTCCATAGAGTATGTATGCTTTGTGTTCAGAGTAGTCTATAATTTAATTTAACTAGATCTTATTTCTTTTTCTCCAAAGAAGGTACCAAGACACAATAAGTTAACTGAGACTTTTTTAAAACAGTAGAATAAGAAACAAATGTGAGATGAAACTATGAATTCTGAGGCATCAGGTAGAAATGGATCAAGACATTGAGAGCTGTAACCTCCAAACACGGAAGTTTGTTTGAAAATGTCTACAACAAGCACTTATGTTGTTTAATAATCATACACTTTGCTTGCCTCAACAAGAATCTCAAAAGTACTATTAAACAAATAGAATTTAACTCCAGTTTACAGAATTCATCTGTAATACCTCTATTAGTTCCTTTAAACAAAATTTGTCTACTTTGTGAATGCAAAGATAACTATGGATTATTTTGATAGATGGAAACATAATCTCCTGCAAAGTATTCCCTGTATTCTGGAGCAATGCCACCAGAAAGCAGAAATAGGTTACTTAGGAGACCCCCACAAAACTAAGTTAAGCTTTCTTAGTGTTAGTTCTGGATTCTCCTGGTTCCACCAGCTACTCTCTAGGACCTAAAATAATTTACAAACCAAGACTGTTTCTTGCCAGGTCTTTATTCCAGAGCAGGTCATTCTCTTTTATCCTGCAACTGTGTGAAAGGAGCTTTCTTTTCTTTCTGCTAGCAGAGGGTAGCCTCGGATCCATCAATAATTCAGTTTTACTCTATCAACATCAGTGGAGAGACGAGTACCTCTAAGGATCCTCTGAGGACAGTCCTGCATTTTGCTCAAATGCTGTCTAGAGATCCCTGTTTTCTCAATTACACTAGAATAGAGTAGGTTGAAGATTTGAATTGCATACTAGGATGAAGAGTTGAAATGAATTGCATAATGAAAAGAATCAACCAATCCATTATCCACTTTCTTATGAATTCACAGCCCAGTAGGATCTCTGCAGATTTCTGCCTTCTGTAGAAAATGGGTTGCTTTATAGCTGATTGTTGCAGCCAAGACAAACAATGATTTCTTTCTTTTTTTTCTCACAAGACTGTGAGTGAGAATATTTGGATTCCGACATTGTTCTACTACCATATAATCCATAATCAGGAACAAGGCAATTCCTTTCTCTCTCTCTCTCTCTCTCTCTCTCTCTCTCTCTCTCTCTGGCGGAGTTTTGCTCTTGTTGCCCAGGCTGCAGTGCAATGGTGTGATCTCGGCTCACTGCAACCTCCGCCTCCCGGGTTCAAGCGATTTTCCTGTCTCAGCCTCCTGAGTAACTGGGATTACAGGCACGCACCTCCACACCCGGATAATTTTGTATTTTTAGTAGAGATGGGGTTTCTCCATGTTGGTCAGGCTGGTCTCAAACTCCCGACCTCAGGTGATCCGCCTGCCTCGGCCTCACGAAGTGTGGGATTACAGGAGTAAGCAACCGCGTCTGGCCCCCTACCTCTCATTAAAATGAAGGTGTTAGACTATCTCTAAGGTTCTATACAATCAAAAATTTATTAAAATAGGTCTATATATTTTACAACAATTTTGACTTTCTGAATCCTGCATGATGGTGTCTAGAACATGTGTTCAATTAATACTGAATTAATTAAAATTTATATACACTGATGTAAATATTTTCTACGTAAAATTTTTCATATGTATTTAAATAAAATTTACCTTTTTGCCTTCAATGACTGATTTTCCTATGTGCAATAACGTGTGAGTCAGTGCCCAAAAGAGTCACTTGAAAGTTGCAAAGCAAAGCAGTTTTTTAAAAAATTATCTAAGATTATCAAACACCCATCCATGAGTACTGTTGCATTAATTCAGTGTCTTAAAATGGATTTTTAAATTATCAGGGATATCTAGAGCAAAGAAATTTAACAGGGAAATTTTGAAAGATGAAACAATTTTCTATGAAATCAGTGTATTGTGTGCATCAATCTGGTGCAGTAACTTAGTAAGGACTCAGAGCGCCGCTGTTCACCAACCAGGGAAAAACTGTGCGAGAGATCCCACAGAAACCACCGAGTTTTACTGCACAGAGAAACGACAGATTGCGATAAGCCCTCTTCTAGGCTGCACTAAACTCAAGCTTCTATCCTGCTGGATTCTGAGCTCCCCTTCCGAAGACAGAGGTGTCCACCCAGATACACCCGCATTCTGAAGCACTTCCCGAGACTGGCGCCTGAGCAAGAGAAGCAGGACTACTATGGCGGCTCAGCCAAGGGGCGGGGACTACAGAGGATTCCTCCTGCTCTCCATCCTCCTGGGGACCCTGTGGGAAGCCTGGGCAGGACGTATTCTCTACTCCGTGTCGGAGGAAACGGACAAAGGGTCCTTTGTGGGTGACATCGCCAAGGACCTGGGGCTGGAGCCCCAGGAGCTGACGGAGCGCGGAGTCCGCATCGTCTCCAGAGGTAGGACGCAGCTTTTCGCCCTGAACCCGCGCAGCGGCAGCTTGGTCACCGCGGGCAGGATAGACCGGGAAGAGATCTGCGCCCAGAGCCCGCGGTGTCTGGTAAACTTTAACATCCTGATGGAAGATAAAATGAATCTTTACCCTATAGACGTGGAAATAATAGATATTAATGACAACGTTCCAAGATTCTTGACGGAAGAAATAAATGTAAAAATAATGGAGAATACAGCTCCCGGGGTTCGGTTTCCGTTAAGCGAGGCTGGGGATCCAGATGTAGGCACGAACTCCCTCCACAGTTACCAGCTCAGCCCCAATCGCCACTTCTCCCTGGCTGTGCAAAGTGGAGACGATGGAACTAAGTACCCGGAGCTGGTGTTGGAGCGGGTGCTGGACCGGGAGGAAGAGCGGGTTCATCACCTGGTCCTCACAGCCTCTGACGGCGGCGACCCGCCCCGATCCAGCACCGCCCGCATCCAGGTAACAGTGGTGGATGTGAATGACCACGCGCCTGTCTTCTTTCTGCCTCAGTACCAAGTAACTGTCCCCGAGAATGTACCAGTGGGCACAAAACTGCTCACGGTACATGCTATCGACCTGGACGAGGGAGTCAATGGGGAAGTGACATACTCTTTTCGGAAAATAACTCCTAAACTTCTACAGATGTTTCATCTGAACTCGCTTACAGGAGAATTATCAACTTTAGAAGGATTAGATTATGAAGAAACTGGCTTCTATGAAATGGAAGTTCAGGCTCAAGATGTTCCTGGTAGTCTGACAAAGGCAAAAGTACTGATCACAGTTTTAGATGTAAATGATAATGCTCCAGAAGTGATTATGACGTCTTTAAGTAGCTCAATCCCTGAGGACACACCTCTTGGAACAGTAATTGCTCTTTTCTACCTACAAGACAGAGATTCTGGGAAGAATGGTGAGGTGACCTGCACCATTCCAGAAAATCTACCTTTTAAATTAGAAAAATCAATAGATAATTATTATAGATTGGTCACAACCAAAAACTTGGACCGGGAAACACTCTCTTTGTATAACATCACACTGAAAGCCACAGATGGTGGAATTCCTCCCTTGTCCAGGGAAACTCACATCTCCATGCAGGTGGCAGACACCAACGATAACCCACCCACCTTCCCCCACTCATCCTACTCAGTCTACATCCCTGAGAACAACCCCAGAGGGGCCTCCATTTTCTTAGTGACTGCACAGGACCACGACAGTGAGGAGAATGCCCAGGTCACTTATTCCTTGGCTGAAGACACCATCCAGGGGGGACCAGTGTCCTCCTATGTCTCTATAAACTCTGACACTGGAGTCCTGTATGCGCTGCAATCCTTTGACTATGAGCAGTTGAGACAACTACAACTAACAGTGACCGCACGTGACAGCGGGGACCCACCTCTCAGTAGCAACATGTCACTGAGCCTGTTTGTGCTGGACCAGAATGACAACCCGCCCGAGATCCTGTACCCGGCCCTCCCCACAGACGGTTCTACTGGCCTGGAGCTGGCACCCCGCTCTGCAGAGCCTGGCTACCTGGTGACCAAAATAGTGGCAGTGGACAAAGATTCAGGCCAGAACGCCTGGCTGTCATACCTCCTGCTTAAGGCCAGCGAGCCAGGACTGTTTGTGGTGGGGCTGCACACGGGTGAGGTGCGGACGGCGCGAGCCCTGCTAGACAGAGACGCGCTCAAGCAGAGCCTCCTGGTGGCCGTCCAGGACCACGGCCAGCCTCCTCTGTCAGCCACCGTCACACTCACCGTGGCTGTGGCCGACAGCATCCCCGAAGTCTTGGCCGACCTGGGCAGCCTTGAGCCCTCCAACGGTCCTTACAATTCTGACCTCATGCTGTACCTGGTGGTGGCAGTGTCCGCAGTCTCCTGCATCTTCCTAGCCTTCGTTCTCGTACTGCTGGCGCTCAGGCTGCGGCGCTGGCTCAAGTCACGCCGGCTGCAGGCTTCAGAAGGTGGCCTGGCGAGTGTGCCCACCTCACACTATGTGGGCATGGATGGGGTGCGGGCTTTCCTGCAGACCTATTCCCACGAGGTCTCCCTCACCTCGGACTCTCGGAAGAGTCACCTGATCTTCCCCCAGCCCAACTATGCGGACACACTTATCAGCCAGGAGAGCTGTGAGAAAAATGATTCTTTGCTAACATCCGTAGATTTTCATGAATGTAAAGACAAAGTGCCAACTATTCAGGTGAGCCCAGCCCTTCCTTTATTTCCGTGAGTAATTTGTTTGCATGATATTTCTCTATTATTTTGCAAAACAAGTGTTTTGAAAATAGGGATTTAAAAACTTTGTAGAGGTAAAACTGAGTTTACCAGTTTCCTTCAGTTGTGACACTTTAATATAGAACACATAGGATATAGCATTTCTTTAGTGAAAACCTGTGGACAAGATTATGAAAAAGTGGACTATCGCATTTTATAATTTCCACCTACTTTCCAATCTATGTTCCAACCTACTTTCTTCACTCATATATTTTATAAATTAGAATGAATCGAGTCTTTCACATTGCACAAGGTTAGCAGGAATAAAACACACCTCAGCTGCCTTCTCAGGATTCTCTTTTGCACTTAAATATATAAAAGGTTCTGCAAGATTTCTTCCATGTGAAGATTTTTTTCTGTGCCTGATTCTGCCTCCATGTACCTCAGCTTGGTGATCCTAAAAAATCTTGATTGCTTCTTGACCTACTTACAGTATAATCACCTATTAATGGGGTGGTAGTAGAAGGTTAGATTTATGCCTAAAGAATGAAATGTGTGTGTATCACACTTCACTAAAATCTATATCAAAGACAAATGCCACACTAAAGGCCATCAGACAAAACCAATAAAATATGTCAAATGAAATGTCATTTCAAGTGTTGTAATTGGCATTTGACATAGGCAATTACATGTTTTAACAGAGAATTCCAGTGTGCTGTTTTAGTGGTACAGCCAGGTGAAGTGTGTCTGTGGGCTATCAAAGTGGGAGATTGGGGATATTGGCTTTGTTTCAACTGTCTCATTTACTCAAACCCTCGACTATCTTATGTACACAGATCCTAGACCAGTAGTTGATTTTATTTATTAGGTCTACTGAAAAATTCAGTTGGAAATAACCCAATCTGGGATTAACTACTTCCGTATTCTTTTGTGTAACATTTTAGTAAAACTCAATATATCAAGTGATTGTCATCCAGAAGGGGTGGATGACAAGGTAATCTTGATTCCAGAGACCTTTGAGTATTAATTAAAAAGACACTTTTAGCCAGGCATGGTGTTGCAAGCTATAGTCCACCTGCATGGGAGGCTGAGGCAAGAGGATAGCTTGAACCCAGAAACTGGAGGCCCACCTAGATAATATAACAAGATTCTGTCTTTTCAAAAAAAGACTTCTTTTTAGACTAGTGTTGTATTTGGTAGTATTTTGCACACGATAGACTGTACAATAATGTGGGGGATATATTTTACAAGTTCTGCAGTGTTCACATTTCAGATGTACAATCACTTGGGGTAGCAGACAATGTTGCTGACACTAACAATGTTACTGAGGGAAGGTCCTATGCCAGAAATATGGTTATAAGGTATTTTGTGAAAGAAAATCTCCTGACAAAAATTTATTAGATGCATAAAATTGCTTTTAAGCAACGGAGAGAAATAATCACTAAACTCAGTGAGCTATTGAAATCAAATTTTCCAGGGATTGTTTCCTTCAATTCAGAGGTCACCAAGGAATGTAAAATAACTGCAGAGGTAGGAAGTAGTGCTGCAGTGCAGCAGATCTCAGTGACTTTGTGTTTTGAGGCTATGTATTACGCCCCTGATAACTCTGAAGATGAATGTTGTATCTCATAACCAGGAAACTAATTGTGTAATGAGGAGAGGAGTAGGCTATTGCCTGTGATCATCGAAATGAGAATCACATAATATTCCTGTAATGAAATCACTGAAAATACTGGGAAGGGGATGTATTTGAAGATAAGTATAAATTGCACCTTCTAAAAGGCAATTTTGGCATTACTGATACTCTCCAGAAAAAGTTGAAATAAATCAATTTGGAGGTACTTAGAAAAGTGGAAAAAATGTTGGGAATAATGAAAGAAAGATAAAATGTATCCAGTGTATTTCTAATGAGTAAGTATGGAAAATTACTGTATTCTGAGGTGGTTTAGGCCAAGTTTGTGTTATGACTATCATTAAATAGATAGTGCATGTTTGAAGATTGGGGAAAGTTTATGTCAATAGACAGATGTTTATGTACTTAATCTACATGATTTGCCTAAAAATCTTCAAAGTTGGGATGAAGGCATTCCTAAGAGTACATTTTTAGACGTCATTAAATATATAGACATATCCATGTAGTTTTTGTTCTTTCAGTTAGGCACACAATTATAATTACTGCGCTGGTTAACTTGAAGCAGCAGAGGCTGTAGTTTCCTAGTGATCACTCTGGGTGCCGCTGTTGGCCAAAGTGGTGAGCTTGGCCCTCCAGATCTCCTCGCGCAGCCGCAACGCGCTTTCCAGGGCAGCCCCAGCTCAGACTCCCCAGCGCCAGCCTTTATACTGCTTCCTCCTTGGAAAAAGAAGAATTTTTTCCTGAACTGGAACTGGAACTAAAGTCCGTTCGGAGATCCGAAAAACAGCAATAAAGAGGTTATTTGTAACCCGGCGTCTCCAGGCTGGTGAGCAAGCTGAGGAGAGCAAGAGGGATGGGGAGCGGCGCCGGGAAGGTGGGCCGGGCTGAGAGGCTGCCAATGCTCTTTCTCTTCCTGCTGCTTTTGTTCTGCCCGGCGCTCTGTGAGCAGATCCGCTACAGGATTCCCGAGGAAATGCCCAAGGGCTCCGTAGTGGGGAACCTCGCCACCGACCTGGGGTTCAGCGTCCAGGAGTTACCGACTCGAAAACTGCGCGTCAGTTCGGAGAAGCCTTACTTCACCGTGAGCGCAGAGAGAGGGGAGTTGCTTGTGAGCAGCAGGCTAGACAGGGAGGAGATATGCGGGAAGAATCCAGCTTGTGCTCTGGAATTTGAGGCTGTTGCTGAAAATCCACTGAACTTTTATCACGTGAATGTGGAGATCGAGGACATTAATGACCACACGCCAACATTCACGCAAAATTCCTTTGAGCTGCAAATAAGTGAATCTGCACAGCCTGGCACACGATTTATATTAGGATCTGCCCATGATGCGGATATTGGTAGCAACACACTGCAGAATTACCAACTCAGTCCCAGTGATCATTTCTCACTGATAAATAAAGAGAAATCAGATGGCAGTAAATACCCTGAGGTGGTATTGAAGACACCTTTGGACCGAGAAAAGCAGAAATCTTACCACTTGACTTTGACTGCCTTGGACTTTGGAGCTCCACCTCTAAGCAGCACTGCACAGATACACGTTCTAGTGACTGATGCCAATGATAATGCTCCAGTGTTCAGTCAAGACGTATACAGGGTGAGCCTTTCGGAAAACGTGTACCCGGGGACAACGGTGCTACAGGTGACTGCCACAGACCAGGATGAGGGTATCAATGCTGAGATTACTTTCTCTTTCAGTGAAGCTAGCCAGATCACCCAATTTGACCTGAACTCTAACACCGGGGAAATTATTGTTTTAAATACATTAGATTTTGAAGAAGTCAACGAATATTCCATAGTTTTGGAAGCAAGGGACGGTGGAGGAATGATTGCACAATGCACAGTGGAGGTAGAAGTCATAGATGAAAATGACAACGCCCCAGAAGTGATATTCCAGTCTCTACCCAACCTAATTATGGAGGACGCTGAGCTAGGAACACATATTGCTTTGCTCAAAGTCCGTGACAAGGATTCCAGACACAATGGTGAAGTTACTTGTAAATTGGAAGATGATGTTCCATTTAAGATATTAACTTCTTCAAGAAACACGTATAAATTAGTGACAGATGCTTTTCTAGACCGCGAGCAGAATCCAGAGTATAATATCACCATTACAGCCACAGATCGGGGCAAGCCTCCCCTCTCCTCCAGTTCCAGCATCACTCTGCACATTGGTGATGTAAACGACAACGCTCCAGTTTTCTCACAGTCTTCCTATATAGTCTACGTGGCCGAGAACAACCCGCCTGGAGCCTCTATTTCACAAGTCAGCGCTTCCGATCCTGACTTGGGGCCCAACGGCCAAGTGTCTTACTCCATCGTGGCCAGTGACCTGGAGCAGCGGGAGCTGTCATCCTACGTGTCCATAAGCACGGAGAGCGGGGTGGTGTTCGCGCAGCGCGCCTTCGACCACGAGCAGCTGCGCTCCTTCAAACTCACACTGCAGGCCCGCGACCAGGGCTCGCCTGCGCTCAGTGCAAACGTGAGCCTGCGCGTGTTGGTGGGCGACCGCAACGACAATGCGCCTAGGGTGCTGTACCCCGCGCTGGGTCCCGACGGCTCTGCGCTCTTCGATATGGTGCCGCGCGCTGCAGAGCCCGGCTACCTGGTGACCAAGGTGGTGGCGGTGGACGCAGACTCAGGACACAACGCCTGGCTGTCCTACCACGTGCTGCAGGCTAGCGAGCCCGGGCTCTTCAGCCTGGGGCTGCGCACGGGAGAGGTGCGCACGGAGCGTGCCTTGAGCGACAGGGACGCGGCCCGACAGCGCCTGCTGGTCGCCGTGCGTGATGGTGGACAGCCGCCACTCTCCGCCACCGTCACGCTGCACTTGGTCTTTGCCGACAGCTTGCAGGAGGTGCTGCCGGATATCACTGACCGCCCTGTACCCTCTGACCCCCAGGCTGAGCTGCAGTTTTACCTAGTGGTGGCCTTGGCCTTGATCTCAGTACTCTTCCTCCTGGCCATGATTCTGGCCATTGCCTTGCGCCTGCGACGCTCCTCCAGCCCCGCTGCCTGGAGCTGCTTCCAACCAGGTCTCTGTGTCAAGTCTGGACCTGTGGTTCCCCCCAACTACAGCGAGAGGACTTTGCCTTATTCCTACAACCTATGTGTTGCACATAAAGGAAAGACGGAGTTTAATTTCCTAAAATGTAGTGAACAGTTGAGTTCAGGACAAGATATACTTTGCGGTGATTCATCTGCGGCCTTATTTCCGCTTTGTAATTCCAGTGAATTGACTTCCCATCAGGTGAGTTTCCTTTAAGTATAACTTAATTCTCATTGCCTACCCATTTCTCCATATTCACAAGAAAATATACATATTTGCAGGAAAATATGTAATTTTTAGATCTCATGAATCATTTGAGGAAAGTTGTAGTCAGTTAAAAAGCTGTCATATCATTCTTCAAAAGAGGAGTGAAGTAGGAGCAATGGCCCAACATTTGTTTGTTTGCTTTTTAGCCAAGCTTAGATTTACGAAGCAATGAGGGTGTGGTTTTAACCACAAAGTGAAAATGTTAGACAGTTATGGGCTCTCTCCTAAAAAGTGAATGAGATTTTTCCCATACATTTTCCTTCTTGTTGCCTAATATATGATGAATACTTTTTTCCGCTTGGATATACCATAAATATAAAAATAATAAAGCCAAAGAATTTAAGCTAAAATTCAACACTTTTCTTAACTAATTTAACTGGTATGGTCTCCATAGTAGTCTACTGTTTCTTGTGTTAACTTCCCTTTTGTTTCAAGAGCTCTTAGAATAAGGAGTCAACTGGATTTTTATGTCCATGGACCCCTTGTGATTATATGCAGTGTACGCTGTGTGTGTGTGTGAGAGAGATCCTTTTACTTAGAAAAGGGTTTGCTATGCTCATGAGAAGATCAAAAGCAGAATCTCCTTACTTGCAACATAGGAGTTTCAGGATTAACCTGTATTCAAGCTCATTCCATATCCTCCATCAAAGAAAAGACAATGTTTTGTGTCTGTTGTCCCTCTCACACACAGCCCTAATATATAGTGTGTAACTGCCTTATCTGCAGCCCTAAACTAATATAGCTATGGGTCTTCTAATCATCTTGCTACCTCTAGGAGAGAAATACAGTCTTGAAAACTGCCAATCTGGTGTGCATACAAAATATATACAAAATATGAAGGAACATTATATGAGCCTTTTGCTAGGTATCTCTAAGCAACTGCTTCAGTTAATGGCCACTTTACAAATTGCTGAAGGAAGGAAACTTCTTTTGATTCTTTTTCTTTTTTCTTTGTCTTTCTTTTCTTTCTTTCTTTCTTCTTTCTTTCTTTCTCTCTCTCTCTTTCTTTCTTTCTTTCTTTCTTTCTTTCTTTCTTTCTTTCTTTCTTTCTTTCTTGAGACAGAGTCTCTCTGTGTCATTCAGGCTGTAGTACAGTGGCAACATGATACCTCACTGCAGCCTCAAACTCCTGGGCTCAAGCATTCCTTCCGCATCAGCCTCCTGACTAGCTGGAACTCAGGCTCATGACACCAGACCTGTCTAATTTCTCTGTTTTTAGTACAGACAGTATTTTCCTTCACTAATTTAACTAATATGGTTTCCATTGTCTACCCAGTTTTCCATATGCATAATATTTTCACAGGAAAATATAAAGGTTTCAGATTTCATGAATTGTTTTCAGAAAGTTTCAGTCAGTGAAAAAACTATCATACCGTTATTCAAAGGAAGGGTGAAGTAGGCTGATCTGCTATGTTGCCCAGGCTGGTCTTGAAGGGAAACAGATTTTTTGTAGTCATACTTACTGTTTGGCTTCTTAGTAAGTATTATATAGTCATTACTTTTTGCAGTTCATTAGATCAAAGTATTAATGTAGGTAAAGTTAACTACATTAACTTTAGAATATATGTCTACCTTAAAAAGTCAAGTCTGCTTTAAATTTAATCATCTCTGGTGAAAGGGATGGGATGGAGCTTTGCTTTTTATCATATATTCATCTGTACCTTTAAAGTATTCAAGTAGAAAAATATAAACAATGTAAATAAAATAGCAAAACAATATAATATCTCATAAAACTGCAATGGTAAAAGCATTTATCCTATTGAAATTCCACAATTTTTATTTGAAAACATTATCAACATGTAATTCAAGTGGCATTTAGAAGAATAATTTAAAAGCAACAACTCTCTGGAAAGCTTCTAAAATGATTAAGTAGTTTAAACCAAATAAAACAATTTCTGAGTCAGTCATCCCCAGTAGGTCTATTTTAGTCTCAAGATAAATTCATTTCTGGTGACAACCGAAGTTCTTAGTTATTTGTTAGTATATATTGGAGACATTTACAATAAAACTTAGAGCACAGTGGGAAATGAAAGTATCATATTATTTTTTTTAAGACCAAATGTATTGCAGAAATGTAAGTAATTTAATCCAATGCTACAATCTGATCATTCTGATCTAATCTGATCATTTAATAACACTAAATAAAACCTTCATCTCACATTCTTTGGCTGTTTCTTTTAAAATATGGGTTTAGGGATAAATCAAATAAATTCAAAACAAAGTAATAAGCAGATGGTATTTTTTTCTCAGTAATCTAGTAGAGTATTACATTTAGAAGTCATCTGTATCTCAGTGCAGTAACTATTTAGGACTCTAAGCGCCGCTGTTCACCTACTGGGAGAGAAATGCAACCGAAAACACTCAGATCTCACACCTCGCAAAGACCCGCAGATGCCACAAACTAACTGCGGGACTGTAGCGAAACCCCACCCCTGTTTGGAGGCACTGTAGGTTTCCGGAGGATTATCATCTCCATAGCTGCGGCAAGAAACTAAATACCCACTTATGCACAGTGAAGATTCTGAGGGGATTCTGCAGCAAAATAACAATGGCCGCTCCACAGAGTCGCCCCAGACGCGGCGAGCTGATCCTGCTGTGCGCGCTGCTGGGGACGCTGTGGGAAACCGGGACGGGACAGATTCGCTACTCGGTGCCAGAAGAGACGGACAAAGGCTCCTTCGTGGGTAATGTCTCCAAGGACCTGGGGCTGGACCCCCGGGAGCTGGCGAAGCACGGAGTCCGTATCGTCTCCAGAGGTAGGACGCAGCTCTTTGCTCTGAACCCGCGCAGCGGCAGCTTGGTCACCGCGGGCAGGATAGACCGGGAAGAGCTCTGTGCTCAGAGCCCGCGGTGTCTGATAAATATTAACATCCTGGTTGAGGATAAAGGAAAACTCTTTGGGATAGAAATAGAAATAATTGATATTAACGATAATAACCCGAAATTCCAGGTCGAAGATCTAGAAGTAAAAATTAACGAAATCGCGGTTCCTGGAGCACGTTATCCACTCCCAGAAGCTGTTGACCCGGATGTGGGCGTGAACTCCCTCCAGAGCTACCAGCTCAACCCCAATCACCACTTCTCCCTGGACGTGCAGACTGGAGACAATGGAGTCATAAACCCAGAGCTGGTGCTGCAGCGCGCCCTGGACAGGGAGGAAGAGGCTGCTCACCACCTGGTCCTCACGGCCTCAGATGGCGGCGAGCCGCGTCGCTCCAGCACAGTGCGCATTCATGTGACAGTGTTGGATACAAATGACAACGCCCCGGTTTTTGCTCAACCGATTTACAGAGTGAAAGTCCTTGAGAACGTGCCCCCAGGCACGCGGCTGCTTACTGTAACAGCCAGCGACCCGGATGAGGGAATCAACGGAAAAGTGGCTTACAAATTCCGGAAAATTAATGAAAAACAAACTCCGTTATTCCAGCTTAATGAAAATACTGGGGAAATATCAATAGCAAAAAGTCTAGATTATGAAGAATGTTCGTTTTATGAAATGGAAATACAAGCCGAAGATGTGGGGGCACTTCTGGGGAGGACCAAATTGTTCATTTCGGTGGAAGATGTAAATGACAATAGACCAGAAGTGATCATTACGTCTTTGTTTAGCCCAGTGTTAGAAAATTCTCTTCCCGGGACAGTAATTGCGTTCTTGAGTGTGCATGACCAAGACTCTGGAAAGAATGGTCAAGTTGTCTGTTACACACGTGATAATTTACCTTTTAAATTAGAAGAGTCAATAGATAATTATTATAGATTAGTGACAAGGAAATATTTGGACCGAGAAAATGTCTCTATCTACAATATCACAGTGATGGCCTCAGATCTAGGAACACCGCCTCTGTCCACTGAAACTCACATCGCCCTGCACGTGGCAGACATTAACGACAACCCTCCTACATTCCCTCGTGCCTCCTACTCAGCTTATATCCTAGAGAACAACCTGAGAGGAGCCTCCATCTTCTCCTTGACTGCACACGACCCCGACAGCCAGGAGAATGCCCAGGTCACTTACTCTGTGACCGAGGACACGCTGCAAGGGGCGCCCCTATCCTCGTACATCTCCATCAACTCTGACACGGGTGTCCTGTATGCGCTGCAATCTTTCGACTATGAGCAGATCCGAGACCTGCAGCTACTGGTAACAGCCAGCGACAGCGGGGACCCGCCCCTCAGCAGCAACGTGTCACTGAACCTGTTCGTGCTGGACCAGAATGACAACGCGCCCGAGATCCTGTACCCCGCCCTCCCCACAGACGGTTCCACTGGCGTGGAGCTGGCGCCCCGCTCCGCAGAGCCTGACTACCTGGTGACCAAGGTGGTGGCGGTGGACAGAGACTCGGGCCAGAACGCCTGGCTGTCCTACCGCCTGCTCAAGGCCAGCGAGCCAGGACTCTTCGCGGTGGGGCTGCACACGGGCGAGGTGCGCACGGCGCGAGCCCTGCTGGACAGAGACGCGCTCAAGCAGAGCCTCGTGGTGGTCGTCCAGGACCACGGCCAGCCCCCTCTCTCCGCCACTGTCACGCTCACCGTGGCCGTGGCTGACAGCATCCCCGAAGTCCTGACCGAGTTGGGCAGTCTGAAGCCTTCGGTCGACCCGAACGATTCGAGCCTTACACTCTATCTCGTGGTGGCGGTGGCTGCCGTCTCCTGTGTCTTCCTTGCCTTTGTCGTTGTGCTTCTGGGACTCAGGCTGAGGCGCTGGCACAAGTCACGCCTGCTCCAGGGTTCCAGTGGCAGATTGGTGGGTGTGCCTGCCTCACATTTTGTAGGTGTTGAGGAGGTACAGGCTTTCCTGCAGACCTATTCCCACGAAGTCTCCCTCACCGCCGACTCGCGGAAGAGTCACTTGATCTTTCCCCAGCCCAACTACGCAGACACGCTCATCAGTCAGGAGAGCTGTGAGAAAAACGATTCTTTGTTAACATCCGTAGATTTTCATGAATGTAAGAATGAAGCTGATCGTGGTCAGGTGAGTTTAGTTCTTTGCTTGCTTTTAATTTCCAGATGAATTTTATTTGACATAAGTATGTTTTGAAAAACATTGTGAAGATAGTTGAAAATAATTTTTAAGGCACATCACAGAGTTTCAGGTTTATTTTGTTGGTGTTACTATAAAGTTAAGCTCTAATAGTCATAGGTTGTTGTTTCATTTGCTTTTAAACGACTTGGAAAGGATTGTTGAACCATTTTAAGCCTTCCAGTATTTTATTCCTATTATCACTCATTCACTTAAGAAGTACCTTCCCATCCATGCCGGTAATTTTGCTATTGTTTGTGTGTACATGTGTGTGAGAGTGTGTGTGTGTGTGTTTCCTAAACTAGAACTTCAGAAAATTATCAAGAAGTCTAAAGCCTTGTATTAGCTTAGCAAAAGTAAAATATATCTCAGAATTTTTAGGGTTATGTTTAGCATTTGAACCTATAACTAGGCTCTTGTAGATTTTTTCACTTTAAACCTCTTTTCTGAGCCCTGTTTCTGTACCAGTGCCCTTCAAAACTTTAATACTTCTTACCATCTTTCAAAATATGAACAAACTTTAAAGATGGATCTTGGTGGGAGATGAGACTGGTTACTAAAATTAAGTATGTGTGTCAGTGGTCACCTGGGCTCCATGCCCATGGAGACATGAAATCTAAAGCCTAGAATGTCCATTGCTCCCCCAAACAAAAAACAAAAGCTAAAACATTAGATCTGGATTAAAATGTAATTTTAAACTATTGAAAGTGACTTTTGTAAAATACGAAAGAACATATTTCAATACAATTCCAATGAGCTGTTTTGGTTGTGCATTGACGTGAAATGGTGAGAATGTTGATTTTAAGAACCAACGTTTCAGGTACACAAGTTCTAAATAAGCTGATCAATTCAATTTAGTTATTCAGTCTTGGCTGGACATAGTGGCTCATGTCTGAAATCCCAGCACTTCGGGAGCCTGGAGCAAGGGAACAGCTTGAGCCCTGGGGTTTGAAACTGCAGTGAGCTATGATCATGACACTGCACTCCAGCCTAGGTGACAGAACTAGACCCTGTCTCTAAAAAAAAAACTAATATTAGGCCGGGCACGGTGGCTCACGCCTGTAACCCCAGCACTTTGGGAGGCCGAGGTGGGTGGATCACGAGGTCAGGAGTTCAAGATCAGCCTGGCCAACATGGTGAAACCCTGTCTCTACTAAAAATTACAAAAATTATCTGGGCGTGGTGGCACGTACCTGTGGTCCCAGCTACTTGGGAGGCTGAGGCAAAAGAATCACTTGAACCCGGAAGGTGGAGGTTGCAGTGAGCCATGACTGTGTCACTGCACTCCAACCTGGACAACAGGGCGAGACTCCGTCTCCAAAAAAAACACAACAGAATATTAATAGTAAAAAGTCAGTATAGGCTACCCATTATAATATTCCTGCATACCTTCTTATAGCATTTGAATAAAGCTAATCCCTGAATTGATTGACGTAAGGTAGAAGTAGATGACCCAATAAATGTTTGTTATTAATGAAAAGGACATTTCCTAAGGATTGTGTAGTGTTCTACTATATGGTGCATATTCAGTGGAGTGGGAGTTAACTTCATAGTTTGTGTACCATTTGGATGCACATTTGAGAGGACAACATATTATTGGCACTTTGCAATTTAAAAAACTGTGATGAAAGTTGCCCTGGTAGGAAAGAAAATCCTTACTCTACCTAAAAATGTTGGCTAGTTGTTTTTATTAATCTGACAAATTGACTAAAGAAGGTTGACCAATGTCACTATATTCCATAAATTTATGTAAACAAACTTATGAGCTTCATTTATCCAATTCCAAAGTCACTTCTTCACTACAGTAATGGTACATAGATAGGACAATAATGCAATCCACTAGAATATCCATTTGTACCTTGTATTGCAGGATAGATAAGCATTTCCCCAGTAACTCTTAAGAATGAATTTATGTACTGTAAAAGATATGACATAAGACAAGTATTTTGAGATATGAAGAAGAGCAATGTAGTAGGGTATATCATTTCTTGGCTGCATCATATGGGCAGTATACTTGAAGTAATATTTTGTGAAGTAGAAGAGTAAAGAAAAATTATTTTTATAAAGAATGTTAATATTGTCAGGAAGAGGAGATGTTTGAGGATTGGTACAAAATTGCCACAACTTTAAAAAATAGTTTTAAATAGTATAGATTTCCCTAATATGTGTAATATAAAACAGTAGAAATATTGGGGGGTCGGAAATCATATAAATGAACAGAAGAATGATAAAAGTGTTTCCACACGCCATAGCTAATAAAAATCAGTTTTTGAAATCAATATATTATGAAGCCTCTGAGAGCAAGAACTGTAACATGTTAATTATTATATTGCAGTGACAAGGGCAATACTTAGTTCTAGCTAAGAGTTCAAGGTATGTTTGCAGAATGGTGAAAGAATGGACCAATGTATGCAGGTTTGCATAAAAACCCAATGTGATATTTCTAACAATTTGGAAAACAGAGAAATATACCTTAAAGAGTGTGTTATAATTTGTTATTAAATATATGAACGTAAAAACTTGGCTTGTTAAGTTAGGCCCTCAAATACAATTACTGCACTGGTTAAACTGAAGCAGCAGAGGCTGTAGTTTCCGAGTGCTGACTCTGGGCGCCGCTGTTGGCCAAAGTGGAGAGCTTGGCCTCCAGCTCTCCTCGCGCAGCCGCAACGCGCTTTCCAGGGCAGCCCCGGTTCAGACTCCCCAGCGCCAGCCTTTGCACCGCTTCCTCCTCGGAAAAAGAAGAATCTTTTCCTGAACTGGAACTGGAACTAAAGTCCGTTCGGAGATCCGAAAATCTGCAATAAAGAGGTTATTTGTAACCCGGCGTCTCCAGGCTGGTGAGCAAGCTGAGGAGAGCAAGAGGGATGGGGAGCGGCGCCGGGAAGCTGGGCCGGGCTGAGAGGCTGCCAATGCTCTTTCTCTTCCTGCTGCTTTTGTTCTGCCCGGCGCTCTGTGAGCAGATCCGCTACAGGATTCCCGAGGAAATGCCCAAGGGCTCCGTAGTGGGGAACCTCGCCACCGACCTGGGGTTCAGCGTCCAGGAGTTACCGACTCGAAAACTGCGCGTCAGTTCGGAGAAGCCTTACTTCACCGTGAGCGCAGAGAGAGGGGAGTTGCTTGTGAGCAGCAGGCTAGACAGGGAGGAGATATGCGGGAAGAATCCAGCTTGTGCTCTGGAATTTGAGGCTGTTGCTGAAAATCCACTGAACTTTTATCACGTGAATGTGGAGATCGAGGACATTAATGACCACACGCCAACATTCACGCAAAATTCCTTTGAGCTGCAAATAAGTGAATCTGCACAGCCTGGCACACGATTTATATTAGAAGTAGCAGAAGATGCAGATACTGGCTTAAACTCTCTACAGAAGTATAAACTCTCTCTTAACCCAAGTTTCTCTTTAATAATTAAGGAGAAGCAAGATGGTAGTAAATACCCGGAACTGGCATTGGAGAAAACCTTAGACCGGGAACAACAGAGTTACCATCGTTTAGTTCTGACTGCCTTGGACGGTGGAGATCCACCCCTAAGCGGCACCACTGAGCTCCGTATCCAGGTAACTGACGCCAATGATAATCCCCCGGTATTCAACCGGGATGTGTACAGAGTCAGCCTTCGGGAAAACGTGCCACCAGGCACCACTGTGCTGCAAGTGTCAGCCACCGACCAAGACGAGGGCATCAACTCAGAAATTACTTATTCCTTCTACAGAACCGTGCAAATCTTTGGTCTGAATTCAAAGAGCGGGGAAATTACCACTCAAAAGAAACTGGATTTTGAAGAGACCAAGGAATATTCAATGATAGTAGAAGGGAGGGATGGTGGTGGACTGGTTGCACAATGTACAGTTGAAATTAATATTCAAGATGAAAATGACAATAGCCCAGAAGTTACATTCCATTCTCTACTTGAGATGATTCTGGAAAACGCGGTGCCTGGAACACTAATTGCTTTGATCAAAATACATGACCAAGATTCTGGGGAAAATGGGGAAGTTAACTGTCAATTACAAGGCGAAGTCCCTTTCAAGATTATCTCTTCGTCCAAAAATTCGTATAAGTTGGTAACAGATGGAACCCTAGACCGAGAGCAGACCCCGGAGTACAACGTCACCATCACAGCCACAGACAGGGGCAAGCCGCCCCTCTCCTCCAGCATAAGCGTCATCCTGCATATCAGCGACGTCAACGACAACGCTCCGGTTTTCCACCAGGCGTCCTACTTAGTCAGTGTAGCCGAAAACAACCCTCCTGGGGCCTCCATCGCGCAAGTCTGCGCCTCGGACCCGGACTTGGGGTTGAATGGCCAAGTCTCCTACTCCATCATGGCCAGCGACCTAGAGCCTCTGGCACTAGCCTCTTACGTATCCGTGAGCGCGCAAAGTGGGGTGGTGTTCGCGCAGCGCGCCTTTGACTACGAGCAGCTGCGCGCCTTCGAACTCACACTGCAGGCCCGCGACCAGGGCTCGCCTGCACTCAGTGCAAACGTGAGCCTGCGCGTGTTGGTGGGCGACCGCAACGACAATGCGCCTAGGGTGCTGTACCCCGCGCTGGGTCCCGACGGCTCTGCGCTCTTCGATATGGTGCCGCGCGCTGCAGAGCCCGGCTACCTGGTGACCAAGGTTGTGGCGGTGGACGCAGACTCAGGACACAACGCCTGGCTGTCCTACCACGTGCTGCAGGCTAGCGAGCCCGGGCTCTTCAGCCTGGGGCTGCGCACGGGAGAGGTGCGCACGGAGCGTGCCTTGGGCGACAGGGACGCGGCCCGACAGCGCCTGCTGGTCGCCGTGCGTGATGGTGGACAGCCGCCACTCTCCGCCACCGTCACGCTGCACTTGGTCTTTGCCAACAGCTTGCAGGAGGTGCTGCCGGATATCACTGACCGCCCTGTACCCTCTGACCCCCAGGCTGAGCTGCAGTTTTACCTAGTGGTGGCCTTGGCCTTGATCTCAGTACTCTTCCTCCTGGCCATGATTCTGGCCATTGCCTTGCGCCTGCGACGCTCCTCCAGCCCCGCTGCCTGGAGCTGCTTCCAACCAGGTCTCTGTGTCAAGTCTGGACCTGTGGTTCCCCCCAACTACAGCGAGGGGACTTTGCCTTATTCCTACAACCTATGTGTTGCACATACAGGAAAGACGGAGTTTAATTTCCTAAAATGTAGTGAGCAATTGAGTTCAGGACAAGACATACTTTGTGGTGATTCATCTGCGGCCTTATTTCCACTTTGTAATTCCAGTGAGTCGACTTCCCATCCTGAGTTGGTGAGTTTTATTTATGTCTATTCTTTTTCATTACCCACCCAATTTTCTGTATTTACATGAAAATACCGTACATTTTCAGGTCTAATGAGTTGTCTTAGGAAAGTTGTAGCTGCTCAGAAAAGCTGTCCAACCATTCTTTAAGAGGAGCAGTGAATTGTGAGTTGTTATTGTCACATAAAAGAAGTAGGCTTATAGGTTTACAAAGTAGTGAGAGTTTGCTTTTAGCTTCCTAGCTAGCAAAAACATTTGGTTTTTTTGTCCTCTTTCTCAAAGCTAATGAAATTAGCTTTTACCCATTGATTGTCTCATTCTTTAACATGTTTATATTTTATTATCTGTAGATAAATATTAAATTTAATGTATGTAATCATTTAATTCATCTTTCAAAGCAAAGAAACTGCTAGTAGTTGTCTTTCTTCACTGATTTCACTGGTAGTTTCCATCTCTTTCTCATGTTCCTCATATATACTTTCTTATTCCTACCTAATGGATTTATGATTTTTGAATCTCCTAAAATTTAATTAAAAATACTATATGTTGGCCGGGTGCAGTGGCTCATGCCTGTAATCCCAGCACTTTGGGAGGCCGAAGCCAAGGCGGGTGGATCACGGGGTCAGGAGTTCAAGACCAGCCTGGCCAACATGGTGAAACCCCGTTTCTACTAAAAATACAAAAATTAGCTGGGTGTGGTGGCAGGTGCCTGTAATCCCAGCTACTCAGGAGGCTAAGGCAGGAGAATTGCTTGAACCTGGGAGGCAGAGGTTGTGGTGAGCTGAGATCTCTCCAAGAGCGAAACTCCGTCTCAAAAAAAAGAAGCAGAAGAAAGAGGAGGAGGAGGAGGAGGAGAAGCAGAAGGAAGAAGAAGAAGAAGAAGAAGAAGAAGAAGAAGAAGAAGAAGAAGAAGAAGAAGAAGAAGGAGAAGGAGGAGGAGGAGGAGGAGGAGGAGGAGGAGGAGGAGGAGACTATATGTTACATGTATGCGAGAGAAAGAGAGAGACTGATTCACTGAACTTAGAAGGTCCAAATCATCCTAATCATTTCTAAGTTTATCCAGGTTTTCTTGGATGCAAAATCCTTCTCTACCTCTATATAATCACCAGAGGAAACTTACAAGAAAAGGAAATGCTATTGCCTGAATTTCTCTTGCTCGGAATCCTGACATATATTCTTGAAGAAGGGGGAAAACACACCGGATTTATCTTGTCGTTTGGAGCTCTAACTATAAATGACTGGATGTTTTCTCAACATCCTTGTAGGAAAGAAGGAGAATGCAGAATTATTCCATTTTTAAGACAAAAACTACTAGTCTTGTGTACATACAAAGCTCCCATTACATGGTATAAGTATTTTGCTTGGTTTCCCTTAGTATGTGATTCAGTAAACGCTGAGATTTCAGCGTTACCAGTTATTTTTAACCTTTCAGTAGTTTTCTTTGTTGTATATTTTGTGTTCTTTTTCCCAAATTATTATATAAGTTTAAATGACCCTTAGAATAATGTTTAAAACCACTTTAAAATTGCATAATTTATTGATGGAGGATTAAAATAGAAACTTGCTTTTCAGTGTACGTGCATTTGAATCATTGAAACACAGTCTGTGCATGCATTACGTATTCACATTTAAAAATTAAGCGTTTTTTGAAATAGCAGAAAAGTTTAAGCAATCACAAAAATGTAAAAATTTCCAAAAAACTTTAATCCTGTTCCTATTTAGCAATATTAGGTGAGAACATCTGTAACTATTGCTGAATTAACATTACTTTTATAACACAAAAATTTAAAAGAAACGTTTTTCCAGGAATTTTACCACCAAAATAAATTAACCCCAGAAAATAATTTCAAAGTGGATAATGTATCCTTATATATGTATTCAATACAATCATATATTTTACATTTACAAATATATAATATAGGTATAAAAATTAAAAATGAATGTATTTCCAAACAAGATTGAACATAAAAATTACTTCAGAAAATTGTTGATGTACAGAAAAAATTGAAGCATCATAAAAAGGAAATTATAATAATTTACATATCTAGAAATAGAGTGCAAAATTCTACCAAGAATAAGAGTAAATTAATATTAAGCGATGGTTTGTGATTTAATTACACACAGAAATTTTATTCCACTTTATTTACAACTCAGATATCTAAAAAATAGATTGCTTTTGAAATACAAATGCAAGAAACAATTGGAGAAATCTAAAATCATAATTAGAAAAGAGTAGTGTTTTCTCTATCAGCCATCTGTTACACATCAGTGGGTGTAGTAACGACTTAGGACTCTGAGCGCCGCTGTTGATCAACTCTAAGCAAAAATCAGGACTCCAACCGGATTTCCAGTTATGTGACTACACAAAACCCGGCAGATCCCACAAACCTGCTCCCAGACTGCAGCAAAACTCAGCCTCTTAACTTAGGGCACTCTGGCTTTCTCCTAAGGAAAAGGATCACCATACTTCGCAGGAGGGAAGAAAGAACCTGATGAAGCAGCGCGCACAGAGAGTATTTTGAGAAAATTCCAAAGCAAGGCAGCAATGGCAGCTCCAACCAAATGCCAGCTCCGCGGAAGATTAGTCCTGCTATGCTCGCTCCTGGGGATGCTATGGGAGGCCAGGGCCAGTCAGATTCGCTACTCAGTGCCTGAAGAGACAGAAAAGGGCTATATTGTGGGCAACATCTCCAAGGACCTGGCTCTGGAGCCCCGGGAGCTGGCGGAGCGCGGAGTACGCATCGTCTCCAGAGGTAGGACGCAGCTTTTCTCTCTGAACCCGCGCAGCGGCAGCTTGGTCACCGCGGGTAGGATAGACCGGGAGGAGCTGTGTGCCCAGAGCCCGCGGTGTCTGGTGAACTTTAAAGTCCTGGTTGAAGACAGAGTGAAATTGTACGGAATAGAAATAGAAGTAACTGATATTAACGACAGTGCCCCAAAATTCCAGGCGGAAAGTCTGGAAGTAAAAATTAACGAAGTCGCGGTTCCTGGAGCACGTTATCCACTCCCAGAAGCTGTTGACCCGGATGTGGGCGTGAACTCCCTCCAGAGCTACCAGCTCAGCCCCAATCACCACTTCTCCCTGAACGTGCAGACTGGAGACAATGGAGCCATAAACCCAGAGCTGGTGCTGGAGCGAGCCCTGGACAGGGAGGAGGCGGCTGCTCACCACCTGGTCCTCACGGCCTCAGATGGCGGCAAGCCGCGTCGTTCCAGCACCGTGCGCATCCAGGTGACAGTATTGGATACAAATGATAATGCCCCGGTTTTTGCTCAACCGATTTACAGAGTGAAAGTCCTTGAAAACGTGCCCCCAGGCACCTGGCTGCTTACTGCAACAGCCAGCGACCTGGATGAGGGAACCAACGGAAAAGTGGCATACAAATTCTGGAAAATTAATGAAAAACAATCTCTGTTATTCCAGCTTAATGAAAATACTGGGGAAATATCAATAGCAAAAAGTCTAGATTATGAAGAATGTTCATTTTATGAAATGGAAATACAAGCTGAAGATGGTGGGGGATTGAAAGGGTGGACAAAAGTGCTCATTTCAGTGGAAGATGTAAACGACAATAGACCTGAAGTGACCATTACATCTCTGTTTAGCCCAGTGAGAGAAGATGCACCTCAGGGAACAGTAATTCTTCTTTTCAATGCTCATGACCGAGACTCGGGGAAGAATGGTCAAGTTGTCTGTTCTATCCAGGAGAATCTATCTTTTAAATTAGAAAATTCAGAAGAAGATTATTATAGATTGTTGACGGCCCAAATTCTTGACCGAGAAAAAGCCTCAGAATATAATATCACGGTGACTGCAACAGACAGAGGAACTCCACCCCTGTCCACAGAAATTCACATCACTCTGCAAGTGACTGACATCAATGATAATCCACCTGCCTTCTCTCAAGCCTCCTACTCAGTCTACCTCCCGGAAAACAATGCCAGAGGTACTTCCATCTTCTCGGTGATCGCCTATGACCCTGATAGCAATGAGAATTCTAGAGTTATTTACTCCTTGGCAGAGGATATCATCCAAGGGTCTCCTCTCTCCACCTATGTCTCTATTAACTCAGAGACTGGCGTGCTGTATGCTCTGTGCTCCTTTGACTATGAGCAGTTTAGAGATTTGCAAATGCAGGTAAGGGCAAGTGACAGTGGAAACCCACCACTTAGCAGCAATGTGTCATTGAGACTATTTGTTTTGGACCAGAACGACAATGCCCCGGAAATCCTGTACCCCACCCTCCCCACTGACGGTTCTACTGGTGTGGAGCTGGCACCCCGCTCTGCAGAGCCCGGCTACCTGGTGACCAAGGTGGTGGCAGTGGACAGAGACTCAGGCCAGAATGCTTGGCTGTCCTACCGCTTATTCAAGGCCAGTGAGCCAGGGCTCTTCTCGGTGGGGCTGCACACAGGTGAAGTGCGCACAGCTCGGGCCCTGCTAGATAGAGATGTGCTCAAACAGAGCCTTGTGGTGACTGTAGAGGACCATGGCCAGCCCCCTCTCTCCGCCACTGTCACGCTCACAGTAGCCATAGCTGACAGCATCCCAGACATCCTGGCTGACCTGGGCAGTCTTCAGATCCCTGCAGACTTGGAGGCCTCAGACCTTACCCTCTACCTCGTTGTGGCTGTCACAGTGGTCTCCTGTGTCTTCCTCACCTTCGTTATCATGCTGCTGGCCCTCAGGCTGAGGCACTGGCACGCCTCACGTCTGCTGCAGGCTACAAGTGATGGGTTGGCTGGTGTGCCCACCTCACACTTTGTGGGTGTAGATGGGGTTAGAGCTTTCCTACAGACCTATTCTCAGGAGTTCTCCCTCACTGCTGACTCAAGGAAGAGCCACCTGATCTTCCCCCAACCCAACTATGCAGACACACTCATCAGCCAGCAGAGCTATGAGAAAAATGAGCCTTTGTGTGTCTCAGTTGATTCCAAGTTTCCTATAGAAGACACCCCTTTGGTTCCGGTGAGTTCAGTTTTTTTCTTTCTTTTTTTTTTGGTTTGTTTGTTTGTTTTTTGTTTTGTTTTGTTTTTGAGACAGTCTTACTCTGTTGCCCAGGCTGGAGTGCAGTGGTGTGATCTCAGCTCACTGCAACCTCCGCCTCCCAAGTTCAAGCAATTCTCCTGCCTCAGCCTCCCAAGTAGAGTAGCTGGGACTGGAGTAGAATAACTGGGACTACAGGCCTCCCAAGTAGAATAACTGGGACTACAGGCACGTGCCACCATGCCCGGCTAATTTTTTGTGTGTTTTTAGTAGAGACAGGGTGTCACCATGTTGGCCAGGCTGGTTTTGAACTCCTGACCTCAAGTGATCCACCTACCTCAGCCTCCCAAAGTGCTGGGATTACAGGCGTAAGCCACTGCGCCTGGCCCTTTACTTTCTATTATAGTTAGCTTTCTCTTTAACTGTTTGTACTTAAGGTAGTATAAGTTGATATCAGTGTGTTTCTCATCACTTTTCACTGAGCCTAATTGTTGCTCCAACATCAAAAGGAGGCATTTATTCGTTATATTTGCTGATATAATTTTCATGTTCTCATAATTAACCTTGCTGTCAACGTAAACCATTTTTCATGGGGCAGCTCTCAGCCTGCATTGATGTGGGCTTTTTGGGTAGGGTTGCTTGATTGGTTGCAGTGGACTCACGTCATAAAATTCTTACTCCTTTTTTTTTTTTTTTTTTAAGAGATGGGGGTGTCATTCTGTTGTCCAGGGTGGAATGCAGTGGTGTGAGTAAAGCTCACTGCAGTCTCAACCTCCTGGGCTTATGCGATCCTCCCACCTCAACCTTCACAGTAGCTAGGCCTGAGGTGGGAGGACTAGCAAGTTATGTTGCCCAGAGTGGTCTCAAATGATTTTCCTGCTTCAGTTTCCCAAAGCACTGGGTGAGGTGTAAACCACCTCACCCAGCAAATTCTTACTCCTAAGATCATTTATTCAGGTCATACTATGTTTGTAAGGGTTAACTGATAGAAAGGTAAATGTATTCTTCTTAGAGAAAAAGCTGAAAGCCCAGATTTATTGCTTCTATTCTTCCATTTCTATGATAAGAAAACACCCCTTTGAGGTTATATTTTTCAGATCACAAGTGTGTAAAGTCTGTTTGTATTTATAGATATTTTCTGATGAAGATTCAAACTTCAGTTATCCACTTCCAAATCCTAGTAAACCAATTTTTTCCCTTTAATGGTGAAAGTTGTAACACTTTTTATTCTCATATCTTCAAAGGTCTTAATTTCCTAACACTTTAATGTTAAATTATGAAGAATAGTAGGACATTCTTCTTTTCTATAGTATATGCTTGCTCAAGAGAAATTTCTGAGACTGGACACTGTGAAATGACAGAACAAGGAAATAAAAATATTTATTTCACTTATATGTTATTTCTGGCTCAATTCTCCAACTTTTGAGGCTAGAAATGAACTTGCATATCAGATATAATTTAAGAAAATAGTCTCAGGAACTGCTGGGAAGATTCTAAAACTCTTTTACTGTTTTTAGCTATAAGGAAGAAAATAATGTATTATTTAGTGTTATTTTAAACATAGTGTCATTTCAAGTAGTAAATAACATTTCATAAGACATTTGAAAATAAGCTTTGAAGTTGAGTCAAAATTCTATGCTAAACATGTGATCCATAGATACATTGATGACTGCTGGCATTTCTGTGGAAATGAAGAATTATTTTATTTGTTTGCAATTACTTGGGTTTCTGTTGCTTTATTTTTAAGAAAAAAAAAGCTAAACTGTCTGGAAATCCTTTATGACATACAGACATTTTAATTATTTCAAACACGTCTTCCCCCTGAAGCGGGTAGCAAAAAATAAAGCATCCTTCAGGCTCATATTTTTAACCATATAACAAGAAAATTATTACAATTTCTGTTCTGAGGAGTAACCTTCATACTTAGTATTTATAAATATTGAAATGTGTGTTAATTTGAGGAAAACATAACAGATATCCATGAAGGCTTATATGTCATGGTAGGTAGTTACTATTCAATACTACAAAAATGTCTCTTGCCCTTAAAACCAGAACACAAGGCTCACCAGACAGATAACTGAGCGGAGTATGGAAAATGTTTACTTCTTTTTTTCTTGAACTATGTAGGACTTAACTTATTGTGCATTGGTAACAGATTGTAGAACATAAGCTGAAAGATAAAATTCTTGACCTTAATGTCTCATCTTAAAAAGAAGCATTGATTGACATTCTATATCTTGCATTACTTAAAAATAATGGGGGAGCGCAGTATATATTGACAAAGATTGGCTTTGTGGTGATCATTGTTGAAGGTGGGGTGGCTATGTGAAGGTTCACTACATATACTCCCTACTGTTGTATAAGTTTGAAATTGTGCATAATACATTTATTTGCAACACAAAGCATAGAAATATCTACTATAATACTATGGTGAGAGCAAAATTTGGGGGGAACGTACACCTGCATTTTCGAAGAATATATACATTTTGGAGACCGAATTCAAAATGAAAAACCGGGCTGCTGTCCCGCACGGAGCCTCTGGGCGCCGCTGTCGGCCAGTGCAGAGCAAGCGCTGACGCCGGGGATCCCTCAGCCTCCAGCCTAGGGATTCCCTGCGCAGCCAACAACAGAAAGAAGAAAACCAGCACACACACAGAAGCTTCCAGCTGGGCAGACCTCGCCCAGCACACCGAATACCCAGGTCCGTGACCCGGGACTCCTCCTGTCCTGGGCCGAATGCTCTTTTAGCGCGGTAGAGTGCACTTTCTCCAGCTGGAAAAGCGGGGACCCAGCGAGAACCCAAGCGAACGATGGGAGGGAGCTGCGCGCAGAGGCGCCGGGCCGGCCCGCGGCAGGTACTATTTCCCTTGCTGCTGCCTTTGTTCTACCCCGCGCTGTGTGAGCCGATCCGCTACTCGATTCCGGAGGAGCTGGCCAAGGGCTCGGTGGTGGGGAACCTCGCTAAGGATCTAGGGCTCGGTGTCCTGGATGTGTCGGCTCGCAAGCTGCGAGTTAGCGCGGAGAAGCTGCACTTCAGCGTAGACGCGGAGAGCGGGGACTTACTTGTGAAGGACCGAATAGACCGTGAGCAAATATGCAAAGAGAGAAGAAGATGTGAGTTGCAATTGGAAGCTGTGGTGGAAAATCCTTTAAATATTTTTCATATCATTGTGGTGATTGAGGATATTAATGACCACGCCCCTCAATTTGATAAAAAGGAAATACATTTAGAAATTTTCGAATCTGCATCCGCTGGTGCACGAATATCGCTTGACCCTGCCACGGATCCCGATATAAACATAAACTCAATTAAAGATTATAAGATAAACTCTAATCCTTATTTTTCATTGATGGTTAGAGTTAATTCCGACGGTGGCAAATACCCAGAGTTATCTCTGGAGAAACTCCTAGACCGGGAAGAACAGAGATCTCATAGCTTGATATTGACTGCCTTGGACGGAGGTGACCCACCAAGAAGTGCCACCGCTCACATACAAATTTCTGTCAAGGACACCAATGATAACCCCCCGGTTTTCAGCAGAGACGAATATAGAATTAGTGTTAGTGAAAATTTGCCCCCTGGGTCCCCTGTGTTGCAAGTGACAGCCACTGACCAGGATGAGGGGGTCAATGCCGAGATAAACTACTACTTCCGAAGCACTGCCCAGAGCACAAAACATATGTTCTTATTGGATGAGAAAACAGGTATGATTAAGAATAACCAGTCATTTGATTTTGAAGATGTAGAAAGGTACACCATGGAAGTGGAAGCGAAGGACGGAGGTGGTCTCTCTGCCCAGTGTAAAGTAATCATAGAAATCCTGGATGAAAACGACAACAACCCAGAAATAATCATAACTTCTCTCTCTGATCAGATTTTGGAGAATTCTCCTCCAGGAATGGTTGTTGCCCTCTTCAAAACACGGGACCTGGATTTCGGAGGAAATGGAGAAGTCAGGTGTAATATAGAAACAGACATTCCATTCAAGATTTATTCTTCTTCCAATAACTACTACAAGCTGGTGACAGATGGAGCCCTGGACCGAGAGCAGACACCAGAATACAATGTAACCATCGTAGCCACTGACAGGGGCAAGCCGCCCCTTTCTTCCAGTAGAAGCATCACCTTGTATGTCACTGACATCAACGACAACGCCCCAGTTTTCGACCAGACGTCCTACGTGGTTCATGTGGCCGAGAACAACCCGCCAGGAGCCTCCATTGCGCAAGTGAGCGCCTCTGACCCGGATTTGGGGCTCAACGGCCACATCTCCTACTCTATCGTGGCAAGTGACCTAGAACCCCTGGCGCTGTCGTCATATGTGTCCGTGAGCGCGCAGAGCGGGATGGTCTTCGCGCAGCGCGCCTTTGATCACGAGCAACTGCGCGCCTTCGAGCTCACGCTGCAGGCCCGCGACCATGGCTCGCCTGCGCTCAGCGCCAACGTGAGCCTGCGCGTGTTGGTGGGAGACCGCAATGACAACGCACCGCGCGTGCTGTACCCAGCTCTGGGTCCCGACGGCTCCGCGCTCTTCGACATGGTGCCTCGCTCTGCAGAGCCCGGCTACCTAGTGACTAAGGTGGTAGCGGTGGACGCCGACTCAGGACACAACGCCTGGCTATCCTACCACGTGCTGCAGGCCAGCGAGCCCGGGCTCTTCAGCCTGGGGCTGCGCACTGGTGAGGTGCGCATGGCTCGAGCCTTAGGCGACAGGGACGCAGCCCGCCAGCGCCTGCTGGTCACTGTGCGTGATGGTGGACAGCCGCCACTCTCTGCCACCGCCACCCTGCATCTGGTCTTCGCAGACAACTTGCAAGAGATACTGCCAGACCTCAGAGAGTACGATCGCCCTGTACTCTCTGACCCCCAGGCTGAGCTACAGTTTTACCTGGTGGTGGCCTTGGCCTTAATCTCAGTGCTCTTCCTCCTTGCGGTGATTCTGGCCATTGCCTTGCGCCTGCGACGCTCTCTCAGCCCTACTACTTGGGACTGCTTCCATCCTGGTCTCTGTGTCAAGTCTGGACCTGTAGTTCCCCCCAGCTACAGTGAGGGGACTTTGCCTTATTCTTATAATCTGTGCATTGCACATACGGGTACAAAAGAGTTTAATTTCCTAAAATGTAGTGCACCCATACATTCCAATGAAGACATGGTTTGCAGTGTTTCTCCTGGAGCCTTAATTCCACCTCATGGTGGGGAGGATTTGACTTCACATTCTGAGACTCTGACTTCGGTGAGTTTCTCTTTTTTGTGTGTGATTTACCTAATAGTCTACTAGTTTCTCATATTTTAGGCATACTACTTTATTTTCATATCTAGAATTATATGTTTAAAACTCATAGCTTTTTATCATCTTTTCTCAATGTTTTGTCAATTGTAGAATGTCACCCGATTGAAGATATTTAGTCTTTGTCTTTTTTTTTTTTTTTTTGAGATGGAGTCTCTCACTGTTGCCCAGGCTGGAGTGCAGTGGTGCGATCTCAGCTCACTGCAACCTCTTCTGGGTTCAAGCGATTCTCCTGCCTCAGCCTCCCAAGTAGCTGGGATTACTGGCACCCCTCACCATGGCTAAATTTTTTGTATTTTTAGTAGAGATGGGGTTTCACTGTGTCGACCAGGCTGGTCTCAAACTCCTGACCTCATGATCCTCCCAACTTGGCCTCTCAAAGTGCTGGGATTACAGGTGTGAGCCACCATATTTTGTCAAGTTCTGACTATCGAACAGAAGCAGTGGTCTTGGCACCTAAGAAAACAAACAAGTAACCTATCTATTCAAATTTGCCAAGACTTAGTGAATTTACCATATCTTATTTATATATTTTTAAAGCTTAAAAATATTCAGAAGGCAGGCCCAGTGGCTCACACCTATAATCACAGCACTTTTGGAGGCTGAAGCAGAAAGTATCACTTGAACCCAAGAATTGAGACCAGCCTGGGCAATATAGGGAGACCCCCCATCTCTACTAAAACAAAAATAAAATAAAACCATTAGCAGAGTGTGGTAGCATTCCCCTGTAGTTCCAGCTACTTGGGAGGCTGAGCTGGGTGGATTGCTTGGTCCTAGGAGGTCAAGGTTGCAGTGAGCCCTGATCTTGCCACTGCACTCCAGCCTGGGTGACAGAGTGTGACCCTGTCTCTAAAGTAAATAAATAAATATGCAGGCAGGGCCAAGTGTGCTGTAATCCCAGCACTTTGGGAGGTGGAGGTGGAGAATCTCTTGAGCCCAGGAATTGGAGACCAGCCTGGGCAACATAGGGAGACCCCATTGCTTCCGAAAATTTAAAAATTAGCAGCGTGTGGTGGCACATTTCTGTGGTCTCAGCTACTCTGGAGGCTGCAGTGGGAGAATCGCTTGAGCCCAGGAAGTCTAGGCTACAGTGAGCTATGATTGTGCCACTGCACTCCAGCCTGGGTGACAGAGCGGGACCCTGTCTCAAAAAAAAAAAAAAAAAAGACATTTCTAAGAAATGAAATGAAATACTATTGCTGTTGCACTCAGTCTCTGTCTCTGATTCGCTGATAGAAGATTTTTGAAGAAAAAAGATAAAATCTTTGAAGAGTTCTATACTTGGAAGGCATAGTGACATAAACACTTCTGAACATCCTGTTCTCTGTGTGAAAGAAGTAAACTTCTATACCCTTTGCATTTGAGGGAATAATTGCTAATGGCACACACAGTTGAAGATATGTGAACCACTGGACTTTGGCCTCTCATACAAACTGCCTAAGAGAAGAGATTATTTATACTGGTATTAATGCTCTGATGAAAACAGGTCATTTGACATAAACACTTACTTGTTGAAAACCTATATCACTACATCTAACTTTGTTTTCTAAAACTTTCAGTACTTCAAATTCTACATATTTCTTTTCTCATTACAATGCAAACATTTTAATTTGCAACTGTAATATATGTTCATTTAAGTTTGTGATTGCCTGCTTAATCATTTAAATAGGTCCACTTAACTTGTATCCCTATAAGATAAAGTACGTTTTACACAAAAAGGTTCATTAAGGCTCAGTAAAACTATTCTAGAAGAGTACTTTAAAAACCTCTTACCTAATCCTAAGCTAAATAAATTTAATGAATTAAGTAGTTAAAATTATAAAGCTTCAGAGTGAACTATGTCATGAAGAGTTTATTTAATATAGTCTTGTATGAATGTATGCTAAATAAAATTGGACTATTTAAATCACAATTTTAAATTATAACACTTTTCTGAATATACCTAGACACTCATATGACCTAAAATAAGTATTATTTACCTTTTATTACAGTATGTACATTTCTGTTGGGAAAACGTGTTGCAAATATATATTTAACCAAACATTATTGTGAAATATTTACAATATTTTCACTCCACTTTGTCACACCTCCAGTAAGAAACCTACATATAGTAAATTATTTAAAGATAGGAGTGGGGAAACCAAAGAATCTATGTAAAATATAATAATCCGACAGAATGGAGTTTACTTTCCAGTCCATGTATAACTTGGGTGCAGTAACTTCTTAGGGCTCTGAGCGCCGCTGTTCACCTACTAGGAGAGAAAACGCAGCCAGAGCTCAATCCGGATTCTCAGGGCTCCAACTACACAAAGCCCCACAAACCGGCTGCTGGGCTGCAGGGAAGCTCACTCCAGAATTTAAAGTGCTCAGGCTACAGAGACACCCTGAAGCCATAGAAAGACAAAGGAACCGGTTTAAACACACAACGTGTCCAGTGAGGACTTTGCAGAATTCTGTAACCAGACTACAATGGCCGCTCAAAGGAATCGCTCAAAGGAATCAAAGGATTGCAGTGAGCTGGTCTTGCTCTGCCTCTTCCTCGGGATTCCATGGGAGGCTGGAGCCCGGCAGATCTCCTACTCAATTCCTGAGGAATTAGAGAAAGGCTCTTTCGTGGGCAACATCTCCAAAGACTTGGGGCTGGCGCCCGGAGAGCTGGCGGAGCGCGGAGTCCGCATAGTCTCCAGAGGTAGGACGCAGCTTTTCTCTCTGGACCCGCGCAGCGGCAGCTTGGTCACCGCGGGCAGGATAGACCGGGAGGAGCTCTGCGCTCAGAGCGCGCGGTGCCTGGTGAGTTTTAATATCCTTGTGGAAGAAAGGGTGAAACTTTTTGGGATAGAAATAGAAGTAACTGATATAAATGACAATGCTCCAAAATTCCAAGCAGAAAATCTAGACGTAAAAATTAATGAAAATGTCGCCACGGGAATGCGTTTTCCTCTCCCGGAAGCTATTGATCCGGATGTGGGCGTGAACTCCCTGCAGAGCTATCAGCTCAGCCCCAATAGGCACTTCTCACTAAGAGTTCAGAGCCGTGCCAATGGCGTCAAGTACCCGGAGCTGGTACTGGAGCATGCCCTAGATCGCGAGGAAGAGGCCATTCACCACCTGGTCCTCACCGCCTCCGACGGGGGTGACCCTCTCCGATCTGGCACTGTCCTCGTCAGCGTGACTGTCTTCGATGCAAATGACAACGCGCCGGTCTTCACCTTACCAGAATACCGAGTGAGTGTTCCTGAGAATTTGCCTGTGGGCACTCAGCTGCTGACAGTCACAGCCACCGACAGGGACGAAGGTGCCAATGGAGAAGTGACATATGCATTCCGAAAATTACCTGATACGCAATTGTTGAAGTTCCAACTAAACAAATATACTGGAGAAATAAAAATATCAGAAAATCTAGATTATGAAGAAACTGGTTTCTATGAAATAGAAATACAAGCAGAAGATGGAGGAGCATATCTTGCAACTGCAAAAGTGTTGATTACAGTAGAAGATGTAAATGACAACAGTCCAGAGGTAGTCATCACGTCTCTATTTAGTCCAGTGACTGAAGATTCACCTCTGGGAACAGTCGTAGCCCTTTTAAATGTGCATGATTTAGACTCTGAGCAGAATGGACGGGTAACCTGTTCCATTTTGGCGTATCTACCATTTAAATTAGAAAAGTCCATTGATAGTTATTACAGATTGGTGATACACAGAGCCCTTGACAGGGAACAGGTATCCTCTTACAATATCACAGTAACAGCCACAGATGGGGGAAGTCCACCTCTATCAACGGAAATTCACTTTATGCTACAAGTGGCAGATATCAATGACAACCCACCTACCTTCTCTCATGTATCCTACTTTACCTATATCCCAGAGAACAACGCCAGGGGTGCCTCCATCTTCTCAGTGACAGCGCTGGACCCGGACAGCAAAGAGAATGCCCGGATTATTTACTCCCTGGCTGAAGACACCATCCAGGGGGCACCTCTGTCCTCATACATATCCATCAACTCAGACACTGGCGTCCTGTATGCACTCAGATCCTTTGACTATGAGCAATTCCATGAGCTACAGATGCAGGTGACAGCCAGCGACAGCGGAGATCCTCCACTCAGCAGCAATGTGTCGTTGAGCCTGTTTGTGCTGGACCAGAACGACAATGCGCCCGAGATCCTGTACCCTGCCCTCCCCACAGACGGTTCCACTGGCGTGGAGCTGGCGCCCCGCTCCGCAGAGCCCGGCTACCTGGTGACCAAGGTGGTGGCGGTGGACAGAGACTCGGGCCAGAACGCCTGGCTGTCCTACCGCCTGCTCAA